ACTGGTGGGCCAGCGCTGGCAAGAGCTGCGGCCGAGCCGTGTGGCAGCAGCAGGCCAGGGCCGAGTTGGTCCACATGATGGGCGTGCTCTACGAGCAGCACGGCTGGGCCTCGGCGTCGATCCTCCTCGACCTCTGGAAGGCTTTCGAGCAGATACTTCACAGCCAGCTCCTGAAGGCCTGCCAGGCCAGCAACTTCCCGCTCTGGCTGGCCAAGCTGCAGATCAACCTGTACAGGATGCCCCGCGTGGTCTGCCTGGAGGGCTGCTGCTCGGACGAGCTGGTGGTGATGCAGACGGTGCTGGCAGGCGATGCGTTCGCCACTACGTTCATGATAGTGATGCTCCTCACTCCGTTGGACGCGATGGTGATCAAGCACCACGCTGTGGTCCCCGCAGTGGTCGTGGACGACCTGGCGATGCAGCGCTGGGGCGGCACCAGCAAAGTCGAGAAGGATCTGGTCGCCAGCACCAAGCTCTTGGCCAAGGAGCTCAGCAAGGTGAAGCTCAAGGTCGCGACGAAGAAGTCCAGGATCCTCGCGAGCAGCGCCAAGCTGAGGGAGGGGCCCCAGGCCAAGCTCATAAGCTCATCAAGGCTCGCGGTGCTGTTGCAGTGGCGAATGTGCGCAACCTTGGAGTCGATCACGCTGAAGGTGGGCGGCGTGCCCGCGCGGTGCGGAATGGCCAACGCCAAGGCGCGGCTCCTTCGCATCAAACGACTTCTGGGGCTTCGGCGAGGCCGAGCCGCCGCGGCAAAGGTCGCCATCACAGGCCTTATGCCCAGCATCATGTACGGCGTCTCGTGCACTGGGATGTCCGACAGCGAGCTCAAGCACACCAGGGCGCTGGCCGTCAAGGCAATCGAGCCAAGGCCGCAGGGCAAGTCCACCACTGGCTGCCTCGTCTTCGGCGGGCCGAGCGAGATCGACCCGATGTACGGCGCAACTTTGGCGCCCGTCTGCACCCTTGCACGTGCGCTATGGGAAGGCTGGATTCCCGCAGGAGTGCTCAAGTCGACCTTCGACGGCTTCGCGAGACACGTTCGCAGCTGGAGTGAGGTCCGAGGGCCAATCCCTGCGGCAGTCTTGACGCTCAGGCGCGTCGGCTACGGCGTGCGCAGCTTCGACCAGTGGCTCAGGCACAGCACCTGCGAGGCCATCGACATCACTTGCTCTTCGCCCTGGTACATCAAGCAGGTACTGCGCAAGGACGCGCAGGCCTGGCAGCTACGACAGCTAGCGGCTGACACGCACGAGGGCATCATCAACGGCGCCTTCGTCCCACAGGTGCGCAGGTGGCTCAGCACAGGCAGAGCCTCCACCTTCGAGGGCCGCAGGTGGAAGCCCGTGGACGACAAGCAGAGGGGCTGCGCGAGGTCGCTGCTGGTGCACGGCCAGTGGCTCAACCAGCGAAGGTATGAGGCAGCGCCGCGGCTCGCTCCTACGCCGTGCTGCGCGCTGCACCCGCACTCCCTGGGCGCCCTGTGGCACCGCCACCTGGAGCGCTGCGACAGCTGGCCCAGTCTCGAGCTGCCTGAGGAGCTGGTGAAGTTCAAGCAGTTCGAGTCCAGTATCACGATCAAAACGCTGTTCGAGCGGCTCCTGCTGCCCGAGCCCAGCCACGACTGGCGCCCCCCGCAGGACGACCTGCTCCAGGGGCTGCGTTGGCTCAAAGGAGACGCCGACCCGTTCATACACACCGAGCTGTTTGCCGACGGCTGCTGCTACGAGGCTGGCACTTCGCTGGCTATGGCAGAATGCGCAGTAGTCGAGTTGCCGCCTGGGCCAGAAGGAGAAGACCCAGGCAAGGGATCTTGCGTCAAGGCCATGGGCGCCCCTGTGCCTGGGCCAATCCAGTCAATCGACGGCGCAGAGCTGCTCGCGCTCTACGCGATCCTCAGGCACTCGCTTCCTCTCATCACGGCCCACTTCGACGCCGACTACGTGGTCAAAGGCTTGATGGAGAGCGGACGCGAGGCCACTACCTCGCATAAGTCCGCCTGGGGAGAGATCTGGCGCAGGATTTGGCACGCGCTGGACGACTTCGGCGACCTCAGCAGCGACGGCCTCACGGTGCGGAAGGTCAAGGGCCACGCGACCTTCAAGGAGGTGGACGAGGGCAAGATCACACTCCGACGTCGGCGAGGCAGCCGCGAAGCTGACCGAGCGGCGAAGTTCGTCACGGATGACTTCAGAGCGCCAGAGCAGGCGCGCGAGGCCAGGAAGACAAGAGCGCTCACCTTGGACGGCGCGATCTTCTGGGTGTCGCAGGCCGGCGCCGAAGCTGCTGATCTCAGGATCGACTTTCGCGACAAGTACAGGGGGCCCCAGTCCAAGGGCCCCAGGCTCTACATCACCAAGCACGAGCTGGTCAAGATCAAGGGCGGAGTCGAGGGCGTCCAGGCGCTCCACTGCCTGAGGTGCCTGCGGTCGGCCTTCACTGACATCTCGACCAAGAACCTCCCAAGGCAGAGCTGCACGCCGAAGGCCTTCGCTCCCGACGCCTACACCAGCGGGGGCAAGAAGCGGCCGTGCGCAGGGCCGCCGCGGCGGCGGTAGCAGCAGCCCGCCGCTTCGTGGAGGACGAGTGCCAGCCCACCCACGACAGCGGGGGGGCGAGCAGCAGCGCGGCGGGCTCCTCCCTCGTTCAGCATCGTGGCGAAACCCAGATTCTGGGATCCGTCGGCGACGGTGACCTGCGTGCTGACGAGGAGCAGCCGTCGGCGGGCTCCTCCCTCATTCAGCATCGTGGCGAAAGCCAGATTCTGGGATCCGTCGGTGACGGTGACCTGCGTGCTGATGAGGAGCCGCCGACGGCAGGCGACGGGGGTGCCGAGGCCCAGCCTGCTGCGCCGCCGCCTTGCGGCTCTGGCTCGCTCGACGCGGACGGAGGCGGCCACGACCTACGCACGTACTTCGGGTACCGCGTCTGCCTGAAGTGCTACCAACACGCGAAGGAGGTGAAGGGCAAGCACAGGGGGCTCGGCATGGCCTGTGCCCCAGCGCTCAAGCCCAGCGCCCAGGCTGAGCGCAGAAGGAAGGCTGAGAAGATCATGAGAGGAGTGGCTCCGTCGGGGAGGCCACTCGCGTGATGGCGTCGCGGCGGGCTCCACTTCTTCTGAGCTGCCGCCCGCGACGCCTGCTGCGTCGCCGCCGCTCTGCCCTGTCGAGCTGCCGCCGTTTGCGGCGACTCCAGAGGCGGCCAACAGGGCTGCCGTGCGGTCCGCGGCGCAGGAGCTGGACGTGCGCGCTGCGCGCACTCAGGCTGCTGAGGGAATTCTCGGCCCCCGAGGGCGCCACCTCTGGAGCAACCGATATGACGCGTTTTTTCTTGGCGGCCGAGGGCGCAGCCTATGGCGCAACCGATTGGAGACGGTTTTATTCTCGGCCGCCGGGGGCGCAGCCGATGGCGCAAGCGATAGGAGGCGGTTTTGATCTCGGCCGCCGAGGGCGCAACCTATGGCGCAACCGATAGGAGACGGTTTTAGCCGCCGAGGGCGCAACCTATGTGTGCCCCTGGTACGACCAGGGTGCCGTCAACGCACTCACCGTGCTGGGGTCGCGCGAGTAGTACGAGGACGAAGCGTGGGCATCCAAATGCGTGCGGGGCTACGCGCGATGTATGCTCGCCGATTGGGCTGGCGGTGAGGCCCAAGCGGCGAGCTGTCTTCTGATTGGGCCTCTTGGGAAGCTGGGGCCTGTTGGAGGCCCCTCTGGGGGTCCTTCGTGCCTCTCGGGGGCCGTGTTGGGGCCCCCATTGGGCCCCCTTGGGCGCCTCGTGGACCGTCTTGGTGCCCTCTCGGGCCGTCGTGGGGGTGTCTTGAATGCTTATTGGGCTGTCCTGGGGCGATCTAGGGGGCGTCTTGGGTGTATGTATATATCTATATATAGATATATGTAATGTAATAATACATTGATTTGTGATAACAGAGTAATATTAATGCCAATCATGAGCCGAACATTTATACCATAGGGAGAGGGGTACACGTGTGAACATACCTATACACATCTGCGTGCGTATGTATAGCTGCCCTGCGGCAAACCCCGCCACCGTGCTATGCAACAGCGCAGCAGGAATGATGCTGAGTATAGGAACCGCGCAATTCCGACAAGTGGTCTGAATTGGGACGGGTCGTGAACTCGACTTCGTCTCCGTCCGCGCGGTAAGGAGGAGAGGTCGGAGGAGAAGGATATTATGAGGACGAGGAGGAGAAAGTTTCTTGGGGCTCTCTTGGGGCTTCCTGGGAGCCTCCTGAGGGCCTCTCGTGGGCCTCTTGGGGGCCTTTTGTTGGGCGATCTTTGGGGTCCCCTCGGGCCGATTTGGGGCTCTCCGAGGCTGTCTTGAAGCTATCTTGGAAGCCTCTTGAAGGCCTCTTGGGCCGTCTTGGGCAGTCGGATATTCAAACAGGCGAGAACCTCCGAATTCTTCAAACACCCAAGGGCAATCAATGGTTTGGGTTCCGTCGGTTTCTCCGGGAGGGCCTCTTGGAGCCCTCTTGGGCCGTCCTCGGGGCCTCTTGAGCTATCATGAGACCGGCTTTGGAGCCTCTTGAGCCGTCTTGGGCCATCTTGCGCCGTATCGGTGTCATTTTGGCTGCCTTGGACGCCGCCTTGGAGGCCATCTTGTCCGTCTGGAGGTCGAAGACACCACCGGAAAGAGCATTCAGGGGGGGAGCGATTTTCAAGGCACGCGCGCCGACCAGGGGGGGGGGTGGGGATGGTGTCGGCCCTGGAAAACTTGAAAGAGCCTCCCAGGCAGCAGTCGAGCATTCTAACACGCCCACTCCGTGCAGGCACGTGGCGAATCTGTGTATGATGATATATACAAATAAAGATCTGCATACACATATCTGAATATTATATATATATATATATATATATATATATATATATATATATGGTTGTGTGTATGAATGTACATGTACACAGGGGCAAATTTTTGTATACGTCATATACTTATACATGTATACAACATATACAGGTGTACAGCTATGCCGCCCCCAG